TTGCGATCCGTTGCCGGACACGGAAAAAAGACAAAAGACAAAAAAAAAAACAAAAAAAAACTCCCAAAAAACAACATACTAGCTCATTAAATGTGAAAAACTATGATTATCTGCATAGATGAAAAAATGCATTTAAACAATTATCTCTAAAAAGGAAAAACAATAATAGGATACTTTCTTTACATCTTGCAGAGAGTCTACCTCACACCAATAGAGGTATTCTCTTAAGAAGCAGGGACAAAACAAGGTTGCCCTCTGCTACTTAATATTATTTTAGAAAATCTGGCCAATACAGTAAGGTGTGAAACAGAAATAAGAATTAAGGCTTTGAGGATCAATAAGGTGACATTTTGACTTCCCTAGTATGGTATTTCTGATTTAAATGAGATACTCAAATTATGGATTCTGGTGTTTTTTTTGTTTGTTTGTTTTTTTATTACTAATAAGACATATTTACAAAGAAAAGACAAAACTGTCTCTTGCATCTTAACACATGTATCTTGGTGCTTTTTTGATGTTGGTCCTTGGTCGAATCACCTTGATTATCTGGTCTGTTGAAATCTCTCTCTCAAGCTTTCAGTCACCAGCATAGGGGTGGGTGCTCAATACCTGTGACTGGCTGAGTGGTATGATTCCGTGATATTTTTGATGACCTTTCAATGATCTGTTTTTGCAATCCTGGGAGTACTCAGAGGCATGAGTCCCAGACTGAATGTATAATGAAGTTACAGATAAGGGTTCAGAACAAGCTCTGAAATGACGACACTGTTGTCTTGACACTTGACTCCTTGTTCAGCAAACCATTGTGCACCCTCAGTGCTATGCATTTCTGTAGTATATAGCTGCCGTCCTTTATCAGGAGTCATTTGGAAGTAACCAGTTTGGTTAGTCACCACACAGAAATCTTTTTTAAGTAGGTAGCTGTCTCTAACTTTGGTTTGTGAGTTCAGTCTGTGAAATCTCTCTCTTTTTTGCCCCCTGACAGCATGTGGAGAGGGCCAAATGTGAACTGTGTTGACAGCACTGGCTACACACCCCTGCACCATGCTGCTTTGAATGGCCATAAGTAAGTAATGATGTGCTACATTCCTGCCCTGCAGAACCCAGGCCTTCATGTTGTCTTTTTCACTTTCTTTAAAAGTTTGTTAAGCAGTGGTACTGAGGAACAGAGAAAAACAAACTAAATTCAGTCCAATCGGAATTCCTGAGACTCTCTTTAGTGTATAATTAATTAATTTATTTTATTTATGTATTTTTTTATTTCTGTTTTAGGCAGCTGGCCAGCATAGGGATTGAATCCTGGAATCCTTGAGCTAACTGGCCAGCCCTCTTTAGTGTATAATTTGAATATTTTTCCCCAACCTGTGTCCCTCCCCGCCCCCGCTGCCAAATCTTTAGCCAAAGATTAAGTTTTACCTTTTCTTCTATTTGTTTTTTTCCCCTTCTGGAATGTCCCAGTGCTATCCCACTAATCTAAATATAAAGATCAAATTAGGGGCATCCAGATCATAAAGGGGTTGGGATCTGTTAGGTAACTAACCCCTTGATAAACTGAAAATAGATTGGATGTTCATGAGAAACTTGTCTTCTTTAAAATAATTTATTTACTCTGTTTTCTTGCCTGCCATTTTCCCCTCATTATATTAGCTCTGTAGACAACAAGAACTGTTTTTAAGGGGGAAAAATACATAAGTAATATGGCCTATTTAATTATTTTAAGTCTAAAGAGGTTATTAGGAATTGAGTAGGATTCGCATGGAAAGTTTTCTGGAGAAGGCATGCTTTGGGGAGAATTTGAGAGAGAAGACATAGGCCTAAATGATGGGGCACGCCCCTTTGAGTGAGGGACAATGTGATGGCTCAGCAGAGGGGCAGGCAGGGTTGTGGAGCAGTGAGTGGGTTTGCCAGGATGTGGAAGAATGGAAATCAGAGTGTGATGGAACAGTGGATGTGAAAGGGAGTTTGAAGCAAAGTACTGTAGGAGATTAAAGTTTAGTTTTTACGAGGAAGAATTATTGGAATCATTTTAGATTTTTCTAAGCAAGAAGCAGGGTCCTTACCACCTTACAGTATTCTGTATCACTTGTCCAGTATTTGGCCTTGCCTAATTGACTTCAACATGCCAAAAAGAGGTAGTGGTTATTTTTTCAATATTAAACTTTTCTAAAATATATTGAATGTGATTATTATGTTTTTTCTGTAGCCATCTTAGAAAAAGTTAAAAAGAAATCTATAGAGATCCCTCCTCCCTTAAATAGTGGGGTAACCCGATTTAAAATAAATCTTTAACATAAATGACTGTAGTTTGTTAGCTAAGTTCATTCCCAGATACTTGGTTTATAGATTTGTTTGTAGATTTTCTTTGACCTCATGCGCATGGGAATAATTATACACTTGTATCTGCTTAATTAGTGGTGTCACCAAGAAGAAAGCCATGTCCCTCTCTCTGAAGGTATCAAATGATACCATATGTATCTGGCTTATGTTTGCAACAACTTTCATTCTGCTCTGCCTGTCTGCTATCAGCTCCCACATCAATAAATGCTCTGAATAATGTGGTGAATAATGATATTTGTCTTCTGTAACTACTTTTATGTGAATTCTATCCCTGAATGCTGTTTAAATATCACAAACAAGGAAATGTTACAAGGAAACAAGGAGACTAGTTATTTTCAAAGTAGTGGAAAACAGGTGGGTTATCAAGAAAACCTAAACAGGGAGGTGATGAGTCAGTGTAGCACGGCGCAAGATTGTTCCACCACAGATCAGCAGCTGTACAAGTAGCTCATGGAATAAAAGAAAAAGCCTGAGCCGTGAACTCAGGTAGAGATGAGGAGCCAAATGAGATAGTATCTGTGAAAGGGCTTTGTGCTATACAAATGTAAAGAGCTATTAGCAGGGAAGCTTCTGGGTTCTGCAGACTCATGATTGATTTTTGCCTTCTAGGGATGTGGTTGAGGTTCTTCTGAGGAACGATGCTCTGACCAACGTGGCTGACTCAAAAGGCTGTTACCCTCTGCACTTGGCAGCCTGGAAAGGAGATGCCCAGATAGTGCGGTTACTCATCCATCAAGGGCCCTCGCACACCCGAGTCAATGAACAGGTCGGAAGGAAGACAGGCTTTCCTCCCTCCACTCAGCTACACCCAGACCTTAGCAGTTCCCTCAGCTCCATAGCTCAAATCTCTTCCATACCCTACACATGATTCCTCTCTTTCCAGTTCTGCTCCTCTTAGTGTATTAGGGAAATTTTATATTGTGAGGATGCATTTCATATGCATTTGACTCATGCAGATTTGGAATAGTGCTATATTTAAAAATATACCTATTTTCTTTATGTACAAAACTTGAAATAATGTACATCGTTCAAAATTATATAGAGTCAATTTCAAACTGGGCTTAATTAATTGTAAATTGTTCTTAGTATTGTGTGAACCATGCTGTTATTTTACATACATCAGAATGTGCAGAAGTGGAAGTATTCGTACTAGTGCTGAAAAATGGACTCAGAAATCAGAAACATGTGAGTGGAGGTCAGAGGTAATTCAGGGGAATGAAGGTCATTTCCATCGTGTCCTCTGATGTTAATTTAAGAGTGAACATGCTTTGAAAAAGCAGAGATAATTCTTCAAAAATAAAAAAGGCAGCATTCAAGCAAAAATACCTTGCAATAGCCGTGGATTTAGGTACTCTGAGAATATACCTCTTCTTCTTTACTTGTATTCCTTTGGGAAAATTATACTTGAATTATGAAAGTTTTAGGCAAGCCTTTCATAAATACAACCAGTGTGAGAGGAGATGGGCTTTCCTATATGACAAGTTCTCCTGTTTTCCCCTCTATTCTGAATTGAGGCAGGTACTTTTCTCAGTTGCTTGAATGAAGGAGATGCTGCTTTTTTTCAGTGAGCTTAGGACTGTTTTCCTAATGGCTTTACTGAGAAGAGATTGTTAAATTACCTGAAGGATTAGATCGAGGTTTTTCCTTAAAAAATAGGAAATCATTCTGTTGAGTCCATCTGTCAACAAGACCAATCTAGCTCTCAGTGAGCTATTAAGAGCATGACTTTGATTCTGAGAAGGGTAGCTTCTCTGAGGTGTGAGAAAATTAAAGTAATACTCCCACATCTCTTTATTTGAGATTGTGTGTGTGTAGCTGTAATCAGCTTCCCTTTCCCCATTTGGGCTGTATTTTCCAGGTAGGTGAGCAATAGACATTTAAGATCTTCAGTGAGGTTGTTTGTTTATAACATTTGGGAATGAAAATTATTTCTTTGGGATTGCCTCTTTAGAATCTAAATGTGATTTTACTCCTCCTGGTTAAGGTGGTAATTTCTCTCCTCTGGAGGAAATGTATAAAGAAGTTTGCTTGTAACTAATATTCTTCAATTTTGAAAAACTTGGTCAACCATTAAAGTCCTTCTCATTTAAGAAAATTTCAGCAACCATTTCTAATCCTGTCTTTGCTCACTTTTGCCTTGGAACACAGCTGCTTGGATTTTTGAACCACTTGAGTGTGCTAGCTTGTCCTGCTCACAGCTGCCTCCTGCCTGGAGTATCCGTTGATAGGTGGGACACCAGCCCAGTGCTTTGAGTATCTGGCAGGCAGGTGGGTGGGGCAGGAGTGGGGCAAGATATCTGCAGGAGCTAGAAGAACCTAATGGAACTAGGGAGTGGCTATAAATACTACATTGATTTATTTAAAAATCGTTTATGTGGTTCTAGTTGGATGCTTGGATCAAAAAGTGGTAATAAGTGAGGTGCCCTGGAGGTTGTCTTTCCCATTAACTTCCTTTTGAATCATCCAGAGGGCCAATCTGAGTTGTTCTAGTGTTGCACCCCCTAGGAGCTGTGTGGTGCTTTGATGTATTTCATCCATTTTATCATCACATTTTCTTTTCCTTTCCTTTTTGTAGAATGCTCTTGAGATCAAAGAACTCAAAAAGTACGGCCCCTTTGACCCTTATATCAATGCCAAGGTGTGTACTTTGCTGCCAGGATTTCTCTGCATCATTTCTCCAAGCTGCACCTTTTCTTTGGTCCTCTCTGGCTCTTCTTCACTCAGGCTTCTTCTCCTTATCCTGACTGTTGTCTGCTTCAGCCTGTCTGCTTTTGGCTTGTCTGGGAATGGGAAAATGCAGCAGCAGTGGGTTTTAGGTTTTATTTTTAAAATCCGTACTAATTCTGGAAAGGTTGGGTGCTTTTCCTGAAACATCTGAAATGGCAAGAATGGGGAAATACAAGGGACCATATTATATGCTTAATTTACTATTTTGATTTCTAAAATCATTTAAATTCAAAAAAGAAAAATGCAGTTAAAAATGTTAAACAAATTAGCTTTTTAATAAGCACAAAAAAATGATTATTTCCTGGAATTAAAAAATAATTTTTAGTTTGCTTTTCATATTTCTTTTGAAGTGGAATCTGATTTTTCTTTCAGGTTTCAATAGCTAACAGTAGAAGTGTTGGGGAAAGGACACAGGTGACTTCACTTTATTCTTATAAAAGCTGTTGCTTGCCACTCCCCTCTCGTTTTCTGGAGTTTGTGCATTTCTGCTTGATGCTTTAAAACCTCAGTCCAATCTCTTCAGCCATTAGCTTTTCTCTCTGCTTGTCATTCTTGACCCATGAAAAGCTCTGAAATAGGAAACGATGTTGCAGGGCCAACCAGGGCACTCGCCTTGTGTCTCCCTCCCTGTGGTGGTCTCCCAGGCCTGGTGACGAATGGCCCAGCCCTCTCTACCTCTTGGCCTTCACCACGTTGGAATGCAGAGCTTTTCGGGGGGCTGGTAGTGGTAGCCTTATTCCTCAGTGCCCCCACCTGCTTTTTGTTGATAAGAGGTTTTATTCGGTTGTTGTTGGCAACAACTTGGAGTTTGGTTAAGACGCTGCATTATCCGCATTAGCTACTTTTTATTTTCTCTGAATATAGCTACCTGGGGAAGGGAAATATAAAGTACTTCAGCATGTTTCCAAATGCAAGGCAGTTATTTTATACTTTTGAGAAATACTGATTTAGCAAATGAAGCTCCCTGGGGGCTGGGCCTAGGAAGACCCTGTGGGAGAATTTTTTTTAGCTTTCAGGCCTTACTGGTGGAGAAGTAGGTTGACCTGAGGTACTGGAGCACATCAGCCCAGTTTTGGCCCACTCTTTAAATTCAGTTTTCTAATCTTCGAGGTACTGTACCTTAGTTGTCTTTTTTTTTTTTTTTTTTTTGGAAGTAGAGCGATAGAGCGGAAAACTCACGGGTCATGGGCTTTCACGTCAGACCTGAGTTTGAATTCTATGGGGTCACTTACTGCTTTTGTTGACTTGAACAAGTTTCTTAATTTCTCTAAGCCTTAGTTTCCTCTTCTGTAAAATGGGGTACTTCTATCTACCTTGCTGGATAGTTTGGGAGTTTAAATAAGGTAATGTACATAAAGTAAAAATATCTGGTAGCTGGTAACATTTGAGATCCTAATTATTAAAAGTATATACAGGCCCTTTGTATCTGTGGCTCCACATCCATGGATTCAGCCAACCGTGGCTTAAAAATGTTTGGGAGGGGCTTGACCCCACTTGACTGGGGTCTTGTTTGGGGTGCTGGTGTGGACCATCCACATGGGCTCCCAGGCCATATCTTGCAGCCAAGCAGGAAGTTGAGGAGAAGCAGTGGCTCCAGCATTTACCCTTCTATTTCAGTACAGGAGAGCCCCCTGAGGTGGACAGGAAAGAAATTTGAGGAGATCCCAATCACATACATTAAAGCATTCTACAACAACACACAGATCCAGGTAGTCTCTGCCACTAACCAGTGTCTTGCCCGAACTTCCTATGGCACTGGGGGTAGTGGCAGAGAGGGTTTCAGAATGCCAAGAAGGTCACAGACAGCAGGCTTAGCTGCAGCAGTGAAAGCTGCAAAGAAGGGTATGACCCACATCCCAGTAGTGGTGAAAGGCCTGGGGCCAGGGAGCTCGTCTGCCATCAAGGGACTGACCATGGAGAGCCTGGAAGTGATCTCAGTCACAGAAAACACCCCCATCCTGCACAATGGCTGCCGCCCCAGGAAGGCTCGGAGGCTGTGATGGGAAGGAAGCCTGCATTTGAACCTCACCTCATGTCTCACCTCCAGTTGGACCTGTAGAAAAGCTCACTGTCAGAGCCATCTCCAGAAGGGAGCTTACTGGAGATCCTTCAAGCAGTAGGGGAGAGCTCTGCCTCCTTACGCAGTGGCCTTTACTTGCACCTCCAACTGGAGATGGGTGTGCCCCACAAGTCAGACTGCCTTTCTCAGATGAGAGGGGACCTACAGGGGCAGCTGTGGCCCAGGATCCAACCTCTGTTCTGAGAAAATAAAAGATTATCTAAAAAAAAAAAAAAATGGGGGCCAGGAATTCCACAAAGTTCCAAAAAGCAAAACTTGAATTTGCCACGCACCAAGTACTGCAATGAATCCACACGAATGAAGTGATATGTAGACATTGTGTTAGGTATTGTAAGTAATCTAGAGCTGATTTAAAGTACATGGGAGAATGTGTGTAGGTTATATGCAAACACTACACAGTTTTATGTAAGGGACTTGAGCATCCACAGATTTTAGTATCCATGGGGATGGGGGTGTCTTGGAACCAACCCCCCATGGATACTAGGGGACAACTGCATATAATGTGGTATTTCTGAAAAGGCATTTTGGAATCTGTTCTTGTTACTAGTAGATGATGCTTAATGAAACATTGCTCAGTCTATTCAGGGTTTTATTTTGAGGGGAGAGACCTTGAAGTGATTGTTTTCCCACTCTGTGGTTAGTTTAGTTAGCTTATTAAGCTTGGATTAAAGGGTAAGACTTTGTTTCTTGAAAGTACATTTTCCTATCCTTTAATTTTGCACACATAAAAGAAAATTAGTCTAAATAAGAACATTTTTCTCTCTTTGGAAATACTGCCCTTTGTCTTTTCCCCTCCACCCTGAAAGACCAAATGATGTGAACTACATTAAGGGATAAAGCCGTTTGGATTGTGCTGAGAATGCAGACCCTTCTTGAGCTGATTCGGATCTAACCTCCCTTGGTTTTGTATTGACTGGCTTGTGTCTAGGAACTGTTTTGCTCATTACATTGGAGTGCTAAGTCCTTTCAGGCATCTGTAAAAATTAAGAAGTCTTAGATGCCTTTTCTGAGAGCAAGATGGTTTTGATGAACTTTGATGTTCCTTTTCGACATTTGGGTCTTTTCCTTTTTCAGAAAGTCAGCATGAACCAATCCAAATGTAAATCATCCTTAGCTAAGGTAGAATTATGAAAATTGTTCATTCCCCCCCTTTTAAAATGATTTTAATTTGGTTTGAATATCATAAAATAAGCAATAGTCAGATAAGTTTTAGGATAGATCTATTTTTTTGTCCACTTAAAAATAATTTACAGTTTTAGAGCTAGAAGGGACTTGTAGTTTTATCTAGACCAGTTGTCTCCAAATGCTGATCAGCCAGTCTGGTAGCATCAGTAACACCTGGCAAGCTTTACAGAATTTTTAATTTTGAAAAAATTTCCAACTTAAAGTTGTAAGAATAATGCAGTGAACTCCAATATATGAGGGTATGTCAAAAGGTTCATGGAAATATTCCTATTATCTTTTAATTCTGTCTTTCCACGAACTTTTTGAAGTACCCTCGCACTCTTTCTGTTACTCTAATTGTTAACACTTTGCCACATTTGCTTTTTCCTCATAATTAGATTCAGCTTATACATTTTTGGCAGGAATATCACAGAAGTGATATTATGTCCTTTTTAGTGTCACATCACAAAGCATATGATGTCAGCTTATCTCACTCTTGATGATGATGACTGATTGCTTGATTAAGTTGGTGCCTGCAAGGTTGGCAAGCTTTTTAATAAGAGTTTCCTGGGCATTACCATCTGAGGGAGTTACCTTGGAAAGTCAGGGGTTGGACCTACTACTAGTTATTTTTAAACTTCTATGTAATTCCAAAAGGAACCAGTTTGAGAGCCACTAATCTAGGCCAACTTTCTACACATAGCAGGAATCGTCTTCCCTCTGTTACCTGAAAGGTGGGCCATCCACCTCTTATTTACTATTTGTCTTTTCTAAAAACAAACAATTCATTACCACTTGGTGGCCTCTTTTTGGATTCCACTGATTTTTGGTTTCTTAAGTTTGGTTGATGTCTGTTTTCTTAAACCTTCCATCTTTTGGTCAGAGTTCTGCTTTCTAGAGCACTGCAGAATAAGTCTAACTCTTCTTCCTCATGGTGAGCTCTGTTCTCATGTTTCCCCTATGTCTTCTCAACCTCAGTAGTCTCAGTTTTTCCTTTCTTTCCAATTATAGTATGTTTCTAGAGCCTATACCATCATTGCTGCAGAGAGCTGTGGCCCAGATATCCCTAACTTAGGCATCTGTCAACTGTGGATAATGTGCAGTGGGCTGAAATTAGGTACTGGTAGGTGATGGCCCTGAAATAGTTCCAAGAAGAGAAAGGCCATGGAAATATTTTCATCTGCTTGTAGTTTATGCATATATATAATGGATTTACACATTGAATGGAGTCTCCAGATATAAGGGGGATGCATGGGAATGTCTTTTTTTCTTAGAAGTACTGACCATAGAAATGAAAAATAAAAGTGAATCTCAAGATGGGTAGGAATGGAGAGTTTGTGCAAAGTCTTTGGGAAAAATTGGGGTATTTCATCTTGCTCCCCTTCCTCAGTCCAGACTCATAGTATTATGATTCTGGGAACTCGTCAGGTTTTGTGAGCACCTGTAGTGTAATTTAGAAGGTGTGAAAGGGAGGGATTCCAGATGATTAGGGTCTGTGCTTCTCCTTGGAATCTCTCCCTTTTGTATGGATCCGTGAATCAACACTTAGTGACTTCCTGCCCTGATAGTTGTCAGACTCAACGGGGAAATAGTAATAAGAGCTCATTGTGAGTGGGAGAGAGACATGGTCACCACAGGCATAAACTCGAGTATTATTGTTACCAGAGCACGTCTGGGAAGGCTGAAACGTAAGTAAGATGCTTCCTACACTGTGAATATGACTAGCTTTCTGCAGAGATGTGGTTAGACCATTTTTAACAAGAGGCAGGAAATTTGCTGGTAGCAGGGCAGCCTTGTGGCAATTACCTTCATTCTGACAAAAAAAAAAAAGAAATGAGATGACTTTTTCATATTTATTCTCTTGCTAGATGGTTTAGAGTTTTAAAGTTCTTCCGACCTTACTTGTATACTTTTTGACAACTTGGATATAAAAGAGTAATATTTGCATCAGAGTAAACAAGTTTTTCTGGATTGGAATTTTAATAAGAATACACCGACTTTCTTGGCCCTTGCTGTCACGCTAATCCTGAGTTGTAAAATGCAGATGTAAACTTCTCTGTGTTGCCACCCTGCCCTAGAATCATTACAGAAGGATCCTGTGAGTTTTTGTTGATGTAGCTGTCTTCGTAGTGAAGAAGTGAAGTGACTGCTCAGGGAACTCATGCCATAGCTTGATAGAAAAGGAGCTTTCCAAACGGGTCTCCCAAAGGGTTTGTTTGGCACTGGGAATCTCAAGGATTTGCTTTCTGCCCAGCCATTTCCCCTTCCTCTGGACTTTCAGGTTGAGGTGGAATTTGCCCCTTGGGGCCTACTTGCATCACAGGAGGCCGTTACTAACAGGCGGTGTTCTGTGGCCGGTGAAGGCTGCCTGCACTTTCTCAGCAGCTGCTCTCCTTGAGCTGCATTTGAGCTCAGTGCTGCCTCTGCATCCTCTGTTTAATCTGTGTGCATTTATCTTTGCTTGTGGCTCCTGCGCCTACCTTTTCTGTCCTTATTTCATTTTTAAAATTGTCTTTGTCATCATTGTGGCCTTTTGGAGCCTGCTCCAAGCAGCTCTGGATCTTTCTGGTATACTTGGTATAGCTGGAAAAAATGATGCAGTCAAATGCCAGATCAAAAGCAAATGGTATTGCATGCATGTTTGGGTAACTTCTAATTCATTACTTTTAATGTCATTAATAGAATTAAAGCAATTGTAGAAACATTTAATTTTTACCTTTTGACCACTGAAAGGTGCACAATATTGACTTGATGGACAAACCCCCTCTTAAGTTTGGTTTCTGAAGTGTCACAGCCTGTTTGATATATTCAGGAATCTGAAAATCTTGTGGGAGAATTATTTTCATTAGTGCTTCTCAAAAAGGAGAGGTCATGGAAATTGTTTTATTTCTGCTCTAATTATACATTGTCAATAGTAGTAAAAGAAAAAACATAATTGGAATGGCTGACATTTTGCTTCTGATGGTTGATAAAGCACAAAATTCTCCCATTTAATCTTAGATTCTGTCTTTAGTTTGAAACACAATTGGCATAAGAGGACCATGGATTGTGGTTAAATTGATGGCAACATTACATTTGAATATTTTGCACCTCTCACACAAAACATTCCAGCGTCTGATTGCATCTTTCTTACGTAAGAATCACTCCTTGCACTGGCTGCCATTTTAATGAGGTAGATGCTGCATTCATTGGTTGGTGCAGACTCCTGGAGTAGGCACAGTGCAGTGTCAGGGTCCCTGTGCCTCTGTGACTTAGCTTGAATGCTTCCTTCCCCGGAAGTGGCTATTGGCTGATACCTTGAGAGTGATTTTTGGTGCTGTGCTCTCTTGCTTTCATTGTTGGCTGATTGATTTGCATGCAAGAAACTACACTGATGATAAACTCTTTTTAAAAATCTTGTGTGTAAGGCAATAGATGGTTGACAAATCCAGAATCAGAACCATAAGGTTGAATAAGTATAAATTGTTGTAAAACCAGTTGAAGTTTCAAATGAAACAATGGCAGTGATATTATTGGAATTTACCCGTGTCAAAGCTTCTACCAGATGCCTGCCACATTCCCTTGTTCACTGTCTTTGCAATCTGGAGACACTTCCCTCATGGCACACAGGAGACTGCAAATGTTTAGGAGATGACTGCTCCCCTCTTGCAGTAAATGGGGGAAGATGTGGCCAGGTGGAGCAGTCAGGCTTGTTTGTGGGGGATTATGCCTGGATTCTGACTTTTATTAATCCACAAGTATTGCTGCTATTTTTCTCATTTGAATTTCAGTGGTTTTGTCCCAGTCAGATGCTAGTCTGTCAGTCACCTTTCTGATGTGATCTGCTCGTTAACCCTTTAGAACAATGACAACGAGACAGCCCTGCATTGCGCAGCACAGTACGGCCACACAGAGGTAGTGAAGGTGCTCTTAGAGGAGTTAACGGACCCCACCATGCGCAACAACAAATTCGAAACACCTCTGGACCTGGCAGCACTCTACGGGCGACTGGAGGTGGTGAAGATGCTCCTCAATGCACACCCCAATCTCTTGAGCTGCAACACTAAGAAGCACACCCCTCTTCACTTGGCAGCAAGGAATGGCCACAAAGCCGTGGTCCAGGTCCTCCTTGATGCTGGCATGGACAGCAACTACCAGGTAGCAGGGCAGATACTCCTCCCAGACACAAGGGACTTAGTCATTTTGGAAAAGGCACAAGTACTATGCTTCTGGGCTGTGTTCTTATTTAGCATGTTTCACATCATGTTTCAGATGCTTCCATTTGTTGACTCATTTTAATGTGAAACTTTAGAAACAGATGAACTCCTCTAGTGAATCTGTTATTTTTTTGTTTCTTTTCAGGGGATAATATATAGTCATTAAACCCTGAAAAGATGTGCTTATGGACTCTCACCCCAAATTAGAAAAGTTTCGTTATCTTCCTATACATGTGTTCCCACTTTAGCACCTCCAAAGTCTCATCAACTTGACAGTGCCAACAGGAGACTTAGCATTTCCCTTTGTTGTTAGCCTTCCCCATTCACATGAATGATTGCTTAGGCTTTGCATTGACCAAATCACATTTGAAGTGAAGGTGTTTTCCTTCTCATTATTCCTTCCATCCAGGAAGACAGAGTTTTGAGGAGTGTCAACAATAGGTAGCTCCAGGAGTAACTGTTCAGTTATTCACATGGGGCCTGCTGGTGGCACATAAATGGCTTTGATGTATGGCCACGATTGTGATTTTGGAATCCATATAAGAAACATTGGAAAGATAATGACAGAAGGCTTTGTGTGGTTTATTTTTGTTCAGTTATTCACATGGGGCCTGCTGGTGGCACATAAATGGCTTTGATGTATTGGCCACGATTGTGGTTTTGGAATCCATATAAGAAACATTGGAAAGATAATGACAGAAGGCTTTGTGTGGTTTATTTTATTTTTCTGTCCCTTCTTGTCATGTCCCGTTTGTCATGTGAAGCCACGCCAAACTGTTCTGATGACATCCTGCTCTGCACTCTCGTTTGCTTTCCAGACGGAGATGGGCAGTGCTTTGCATGAGGCTGCTTTGTTTGGCAAGACCGATGTGGTACAAATCCTGCTGGCTGCAGGTGAGAGGTTGGCAGTGCTCTTGTCTACACAGCATGCCAGGGTTGGGATTGTTTCTCCCTAGCCTCCCTAGAGGGCGATTTTTGCTGGCTGCATTTGAACCCAATGTATGTGTGTCTTCACTGGTTGATTACAAGCGTGTGAATTGTTCTTGAATAGCTGGATTAAATGGCTTTGGAAGAAAAATGTTGGTCATGCTGCTGGGAGCCTTAGGTGTCCTGGAATTTGACCTTCTTTGAGGCTGGCTTGAAAATGCTCACTCCTCTGGTCCACCTGGTATACCTTTGTAGGAATTGATGTCAACATAAAGGATAACCGTGGACTGACTGCTCTAGACACTGTCCGGGAACTGCCTTCTCAAAAGAGCCAGCAGATAGCAGCACTTATTGAAGGTATCAGTCCATCTTTCAGTCTGGGTGACCAAGGAACACACTATCCAAACCAAGGCATTTGTATTTGGTGCAGCTTTTTTTTTTTTTTTTTTAATCTTTCATGTAGATCATATGACTGGAAAAAGAAGCACAAATGAGGTAGATAAAACTCCTACACCCCAGCCACCTGTCATCTCCAATATGGACTCCGTGTCACAGAAGTCTCAGGGTAAGGCCACTCTTCTCTGCCAGTAAAGGGGCACTCCGCTTGAAAAGAGTTGAACATTCTTGGACAGAATGGAAAGTCTTAATTTTAGTAATAACTTCAGGGGGTTGTGAGTACTTAAGTTTATATTCAATTTATTTTTTTCAAACTACTATGTGAGGTTTTATTGGACATAGGTTAGGCCTTTGACTGTGGGCCTCTTCTTTCCTACTTCATTTTATTCTCCACTTTTACGTTGACTCTATGAAATCTATTCTGGGGATGTATTGTGGGGAGGATCATCTCAAGATGAATTCACATCTCAGTGAAACCTTTTTCTAATACACATGATGGTGACTGCATAGTTGATCCACAGTAAATATTTAATGAATGTCATCTGGTTAGTCGATTGTGGCAGTATATCATTTGGCCAGCAAATGTGGTTTGGATGCTAGCTTAGGCAGTCCAGACTATCCATCATTAGCCAGAATCCACTTTTTCAGATTTATTGAGCAGCCTTTGGGTTTTGGGTATGATGAAGGACAAAGATAAAGACTGTCTGACACCTACCCCCAAATAAAAATCACAATAAAGAAGGCTAGAGAAACAGAACAAAGCTAAAAATGAAAAGGGGAAAGGGATTTCCCAGAAAAGTACAGAGATACAAGGGTAAAGGTTGCCCGGCCTATCTTTTCTGTGGATTCCTCATCTCCCTCTCCCCACATATGTTTTTTCTTGACTTCATAATCTGCTAGCAATGGAATTAGTAGTTCACTAAGCTCTTAGCTTTTAAGGATTTTACATTTATAGTTTTGACTATTTGCATGTGACCCAGGCATGCATGGTCTCTAACAGTTGGTAATTTTGTAGAGTCACGAATTTGGATCCCAGGTGCTCCAAGGTTGGTAGTTATAGCAAGTGAGTCTAACAGCAGCACAGCCCCTCCATCTCAGGAAGGCTTTGCTGTCCTCCGTTTTGCTTGAGCATGTGGAGGCTCTTATTAAAGAATTTAAAGGATGACTTCAGTTTTTCAGTTATACCTTGCTACATTTTATGGGTTGTTTATGCTGTCATGGTATTGAGGTATTTGGGGTTTTATAAATGTCTTAAGAGGTATCCCTTATGATGCCAAGTGTTTTCCATATTGAATTTGAGAAAAATCTGCTTAGATCTCAGGGTATAAAGAGCAGCTGAAACTATATTTATTTCTATCTGTGAAGCAAAGTAATCATTTCCCTGCTCTGGGTTAGTGTTTGTAGAGTTCAGAATCCTGAAGAGGCTTTGGGTTGCTGCAGTGGGCGGAACTCAAGATTGTGTCCCCCTTTTATTAACTCTTTTGCCCTCCAACCTTCTCCCCAGAAGACGTGGAGAAAGCAGTGACTGAACTGATCATCGATTTTGACACAAATGCTGAAGAGGAGGGTCCCTACGAGGTGCTATACAATGCTGTTTCCTGCCACTCACTGGATAGCATGGCCAGCGGACGATCGTCTGACCGAGACTCCGTGACCAAGGAGACCGAGGCAGCAGGAGTGAAAACTGCTGGAGTGAGGCCTGTATGTGGCCCGGGGCCCTAAATCTCCAGGGACTGTGTTGGCTGGTTGACCTGTGCTGTGCTGAGGCACTGGGAAGAGGAAGTATGACCCTAGTGCCAGCTTGCACTTCAGAGGCCTGGATCCACTTGTTCTGCTCTTCTTCTTGGGGCTCTGCCATGGCTCTCTTGCTCAGTGTGGTAAAACCATACAGATCACATTGAGGTAGAATTTTGGTTTTTCCAATTTCGGTATAACCAGTTTGCATCTTTCCACTACTTCATTGGCCTTAGAGCAAATTGAAACATTTTATTTCTACTTAGCCTTAGTGCTGCTTCTGTCTTTGGGATCTTTGCTATATATTGTTTGTTTTCTCTCTGAAGAGCAGAAATATACAGTAAAAGAAGCTTACTCAAATTAGTTCCTGTCTGACCTGAGCATATGCTCACCGTCCGTTTACCCTGAAGGAATTATCCATTTGGATCTGGGCAGGTTCTTTATTCAGCAGGATAGCAAGGCTTAATCAGACATCATATTTATTAGTTTGTGGCATTCTGTTTTTATCCAATTATAACACCTCTAGCCATTGACATTATTAGGATGAGGACAACTGAATTGTTCCTTCTCAGGGCCTCCCTTCCCATCTTACTGCTTCTTTCTCTAGTGCTTGCTTTTACTTCTAGTCTTGTACATCATTCTTGAGTTTCATTCCCCCTATCTTCTCCCCCAGGGTTATACTGTGGCCTAGGCCTGAATCATGTTTCCCCTGACCCTCCTTCCTCCCCTTCCCATCTTACTGCTTCTTTCTCTAGTGCTTGCTTTTACTTCTAGTCTTGTACATCATTCTTGAGTTTCATTCCCCCTATTTTCTCCCCCAGGGTTATACTGTGGCCTAGGCCTGAATCATGTTTCCCCTGACCCTCCTTCCGGCATTTCTGGGCACAATAATTGGAGGTTTTAAGCACTGCCCATTAGTTAAAATGGCCCTTGCTCTAACAGGATCCCAGTGCTAACCACCACCTTGAGACATATTTTCAGGTATATGTTATTTCTTCCTGTTGGAGAGGCTGGCCTTTCCCTTTTGGTCTGAATCTAGCTTATGATAATTTTGACAATCCTTTGGCTGCTAAGTAATCCTTGGTCTTTTCAGGAATGCCCTGAGAATGGCCTAATGTTTCTTGGAGTGTTCTTTTTTATTAGGCTCCTTACCCTGCCCTGCTTTGCCCTGCCCTGAAATAGTCCCAACATTTCAGTATGGATCTTGGAAAGGCCCACCAGTCTTGTGGTAGCCCACCAGAGTGGGTGTTATCAAGGATTGTGACAGAACCCATTGTGAGTGGTGAAAACACATGCATATGCCGAGCCCACTAGCATAGTGCTTCTGTAGACAGAGCTAGTTTTTTCACTTTTGCTGTTTGACACAAAGGAATTGAGCAAATTCAGCTGTGGAGGCTTTAAATGGTACTTACAGGTGATGCCCATTAGGGGGAGCTGGAGCCTTTGCAAGAAGCACAGGGTTCCTGAAGTAAACTGGGATTGATTTACACAAGCCTCTTTGTTCCATCCTGCTTCAGGAACCTAGCCTCTTATGGTCCTGCTAAGTGGAAACTGATGTATCTTGGGATGCATGCTTTGCCATTTTTATTTGGGTGTGTTGTGGCAGTGCTGTCTTCCTGGCCCTTGGTAATTAACTGTGGCCAAGGGACTACTGTTCCACATCTTGGTAAACAAAACGGATGGTATGTATAAATCAGCTCTGTATTCCAGGCCCTTGGTCCAAAGTCCTCACATTAGAAAAAACACAGGCTAACAGTTACTTCTGTTTCCTTCCAGTGTCCTTGGTGATCATTTCTTCCACAAAAGTCTTTCATATTTTTCTTTCTAGGCTTTTTTAGCCTTGGGAAGGCTTCTGGGTTGGGCCCTTTTTGTTATTGTTGTTTCATTTTGTTTTTTCTCAGCTACTTGTATCCCAAGGTTGCTTTACTGGTGGAGGATACGAGACTGCTCCTTTTGCTGTTCTCTTCCTTTTAAGGTGGCACCGGGACAAAGCTTGTTCCTGTACTTTTGGGGAGAAGAAGGGTGGGGAAAATGAGACTTCGTGGGAAATCTGATCTAAATAGCATTGTTTGACTTGAATATACAATCCTGTTTTGAAGTTGTTGTCATTGGGCATCCATCCGGTTCCAGGGACTATGAGAATGACTGACTTGTCAAGATATACTGAGCGGTGAAGCATGTTTTAGCAGAAAGATCATGGATGCCAGAATACTTATGCAGGTAGCTCCTAAAACATGAGAGACATCTTTCCTTGCAGATTTCTCCGGGGCTCTTGCATAACTCAGCATTCACCTCTACCCTGGCTTTCTGAAATACTCCTGTTTTAGCAACGTGGTAAACTAATCTTACAAGCCAGGGAATGAGCCTGTGGGCCAACTCCTGTTTCAGGCCCTCACTCCCTTCAGTAGGAACCCTGACTGCTAAACATGACCAGGGCTTTGGAATATAAATGATGCTAATGGTACTGCAAGTACAATGGCAAATCTCTCTTCAGCTTTTAGGTTTCCTTCACCAAGGTCATTCTGTGTATTTCTGAAATTGTCTATCCATGATCTAACTAACCCAGTTTCCCCCCTCAGTGAGTTTTTGCTATAGGGCAGGGGACAGCAAACTACAGCCCACAAGCAGTTGCCTGTTTTTGTAAATAAAGTTTTATTGGAACACAGCCACACATTCACTTACATATTGTCTGGGGCTACTTTTGTGCTGTGGCAGAGGTGACTGCAAAGCCTAAAACATTAATGTAATGGTCTTTTAAGAAAAAGCTTGCCAATCCCTGATCTAGGGCAGACAACTGACAAATATTCCTTTTTAAAATGGGCTTAGAAGAAATAGGGGTTTCATATACTAATGATATATGATGCTAATTATTGAAGGAGGTGACTGAGGATAAGAGGCCAGTTTTTTTTTTTTCCTTTTTGTCTTTTCTCGTGTCCGGCAACGGACCGCAACCCTCAGTGTCGCACCCACACCGGACCGGGACCGGCAACGGGATCGCAACCCTCGGTGTTGCGGCCGCACCTCGCTCAGCCAGTGAGCGGGAACCGGTCTTTATGTGGGATCCGAACCCTCGGCGGGAGCGCCGCCACGCTCCCAAGCAGCGCACTGCAGCAGTGCGCCACCGGGCCGGCCCAAGAGGCCAGTTTTGAGCTTTTTGCTAATAAATGGGGATAGACTGATAGGAGAACATTAAAGTTGGAATAGGAATTGATGTTTTTGTCCTTGATTACGTTTCTCATTACTTCCTCAATAACTTTGGTTTGTTAGAACTATTTCACAAGTTGATTCTTTTGATCTAGTGCTCTTCTTTTTAGAGAAGACTGAAAATTGAGCCACTGATTTTTCTGTACTAAAGTTTTATGTATCAGTATTCTGAAGGACATTTTTTTTTTTACAAGGCAGTTATGTTTTCGGTGCTGGCATTTCTCACTGTGGTCTAGGATATGAAAGAAGTGTTTATGATCTCTGCTGTAAACATCAAGAACCGTAGAGCATGCTAATTGAATTGTGTGTGCAGGGTTCCCCATCTGTATGGAAACTAAACCTTGACTTTAGTCTCTCGGAGGAGTTCTTTACATTATTATTTTTCCTTTCCAAGGGCTAAGGTAAGGGTAAACCAAAAAGTTAGATACTTGAAAAAAGACTTAGTAGAATGGTTTTTTTTTTTTTCTCTTCTGCAGAGGGAACGTCCACCGCCTCCAGCAAAGCCACCCCCTGATGAAGAGGAGGAAGACCGCATAGATAAGAAGTATTTTCCCATGACAGCTTCTGAGGTAGAAGTTTGAGGGTTTATTCTCATCACAGAAATAGGAGTTTGTTGGAAAGTGTATCAGTGTACGCTTAAAAAAGACTTTGCTTTCCCATTTTATCACCTTTGGATTGTAAACTTGTGTGTATCAGTAATCTGGAATAAGACCTTTCAAACTCACTCAAAAGTACTAAACAAAGAATTTTAATATAGCTCTCTACTAGACAGGCCAATTATTGATCTACCATACCACGTGGGAAGTAAAACCTGCACACTGTCTTCTGGCTCCAGTAAGCTGAACAGTCTCTCTCTTTGCTTTTGTACTAACTGTGTTATCTTTTGATACAAAATGTAGAGTGGTGCATGTAGTAAATTCCTACACATTTTTTTTTTCCTTTTTGTCTTTTTTTACTGACCGGTAATGGGATCGCAACCCTTGGTGTCGTGCCCATACCGGGGACCGGCAACGGGATCGCAACCCACGGTGTCGCGCCCACACCGCGCTCAGCCAGTGAGTGGGAACCGGTCTCCACATGGGGTCCAAACCCTCGGCGGGAGCGCCACCGCGCTCCCAAGCGGCGCACTCTCCGGTGCGCCACCGGGCCAGCCCAAATTCCTACACATTTTTATGTAAATAGAGGTTTGCTTCATTACTCCCTCTTTTACAAGGTGAAACCTAGTAACATGGAGGATATTCAGTTGGGGCTGGGTCTCTGTAAATGCCTTGTGCCACCTCATTAACAAGGATTTAGACTAAAATTCCTAATGCCCAAGGAAAGGGGCAAGGCTGTTAAAGAAATGCTGTATAACCAGGACTCTCTGTTCTCTCAAGACTTTTTCTTTTTTTTAAAAAAAGATGACCGGTAAGGGGATCTTAACCCTTGACTTGGTGTTATCAGCACCATGCTCAGCCAGTGAGCTAACCAGCCATCCCTATATGGGATCCGAACCCGGGGCCTTGGTGTTGTCAGCACCGCACTCTCCCGAGTGAGCCACAGGCCGGCCCTCTCTCAAGACTTTTGAAAGGATACAATTTGGCAATAATGCAGCACCAAGAGGTGGTGGTGGAAAATCTCCACATAACTCTCCTGGGTGGAAGGGTCTGTCTGGGATATATCTTCTGGAGTTTGCTTCTGAATAGCCTGGAATTCTGGGTCAATTGGACCAGCATAGCCAGTATTTGGAAGCCCACGAGAACTGTGAATTTGCTTATTTACTGGTGATTATAGGTACATAAATATAGAGGTGATTCATCCTGGGTCATTATCCTTTTAATGATTCAGGCAGATTTTGTTCTTATGCTGTAGTCTGAATGGATTGGTCTTCCCCAAAAGTGGAATAATTTTTTTTTTTTTTTTTTTGACTCCATGGACTTCACCATCTTTATGTCTTAAACTACCAAACTTTAATATCCTAAATCTCATATCTCAGGAGACACTGGCTTCCTCAGACTTTAGGTTTTTGTATTTGGCAAGCAATCTTCCCCAGTGTTTGTGTCTGTATTCCTGAGGCTTGTTATTGTCAGATGACCCATAGAAGCCTTTAAGGGAAGCTAGAGTTTACCTGGCTCTAGAAGAGCTTATGAGATTAATGACCGGATCATGAAACTGGCTTAAAAATTAGATGCAAACACACATGCTATTTAGATGTTTTTGCCCCACAGAGTGGGCTGCCAGCTGCATCAGAACAAACTGTGGTCTTCATTATGCTCAGATGTGTTAAACATTCACAAGGTTGCAGCTGCTATGGTATCTCTTCCCAGAAAGCTGTCGACACCCCAACTGGACATTCCACTGGTCACAGGTGGTGACTGCTCATAACTTTTCTCTGCAGCAGAAATGTTGTTTTCCACATACTAGAAAGTATATATTTTCAGCTTTGATTTATTGCCAGCCCTGAAGGAAAGGGAAAAAAAGATTAAGGGGTAATTTAGTAAAGAGCAGAATTCTTTCTGTTGAAAATCATTGACATATTCACTATGACAAAGGGATTCTTGATGGGAGCTAGGAAGCCTCAAAGAAAAGCAGTATATTGCTTTATTATGAGATTTTAATCCCATAGATGGTAGGGGCCAGCGGCAAGAAGAAAAGATCACCCTTCTTGTTGTCTGGGTATAAGCAGGGGACTCTCATTAGACATCTGAAGGAGGAAAAGGGGTCCAGATTGAATGGAGAAAAAAATGAACGCCAGAAAAAATGAAACCAATCTGGCCCAAAATTAGGGAAACTGAATTTTATGGCCATAGCTCTGCTGTGAGCTCTTTGGTGTAACCTTGGGCCTCTGCTGTGAGCTCTTTGGTGTAATCTTGGGCCTCTCTGGGAACTGGGTTTGTCATCTACAAATGAAAGGACTGGAACCAGGTTCTCTCTAGCTGTGTTAGGGTCCCTTCCTGTTCTGACATTTGATAGTTCTCCGCTTCCAGTTGTTCGGCACAGAGCCACCGGAAGTCCAGTGGGCCTGATTTTCCAGATGGAAGTCATCAGCTTTGTCCTGCTTGAGAAAAAAGGACATTATAGGCCGGGCATCCAGGCTGTCAGTTACCTCTCAGGGAAACATGCCTGGGGCTGTATGAGAGCTCTTGCTGTGTGCAGAACACTCACTGAATCAGATTTCCAGGGAGCACTGCATAAGTGATAACTATGGGAGTGTAAACCTGCAGAACAGAAATTCCTGTCTGTAAAGCCTATGGTATTAAGTTGACACAGTGTGAACTGCTTAATGATCCCTCTTTGTTCCCTGAATTGTGTTCCTATGAAGAAGCAAGGAATAAGTAATACTGGCAAGTGGCTCATTGTAATGAAATAGCTTTTAGCTTCCAGGTGGCTTACAGTAAGTGAAGGTTCCTGCTGGGCTTAGCAAAATTTTGGAAAGAGACTATCATTCTGCCTTTTGAGTGGCAGACTTGTTAACAAACAGGAGCTTTAGCTTCTCCTATGGCCTGAGGCTGCTGGAGTTCTTGTTGTCTCATTAGGCTATAACATAGTGAGCTATACCTCAAAGAAGCAAAACCCCAATGAATCAAAAACCTGATGCATTTCCAGTGAGCCGTGAGACATGTCAATGTAGCAGGAGGTTTCTGTGTGTGCCAAGGAATCACATTAGTAGGATAGCATTATCTGTTAGGTGGAATTGGGAATACCCCCACCCCCAATTCCTTGTTCATAATATATTACTTGTCCTAGCTAAACTGCTCAAGAAGAGATTTTGTGCTTTGGTTTGCTCTTCTAATAGCTAGTATTATTCTTAATACTAGCTTATTTTTATTTTGCCTGTGAAACACATTGGATTCTTGGGACAGCTGAGCCAAAATTGTCCTCTAGAGCAAGGATCTCCATTCTCTCTCCCAGCATGGCCATAGCACTAACTGTGGTGTTTTCAGCTTGGCTTGAGGAGAAGCTTGGTTACTCTGGTACCATGACTAGCTGTGGCCATCAGGCCCTCAGCTGGCCAAAGCCTTGCAGTTAGTAGGTGTAGGAGCCAGCTCTGGTCCAGTTATTTCATCAGAGATATTTGGCTGCCTGGATTAGGGATTTCTCAGTAGACAGAGCTTCTTTCTTCCCCACTAAAATTCAAACTTTCTAGCCATTTCACTCTTCAGAGCAGAGATTTAGTGGGATTGATTTAAAATTGTACTATCATAAATGTGATAGGAAATCAGCTTTTGGGAGCTCCTTTCCTATAATCCTCAGGACCTCTGAAGAAAGGCTCACAAAAATAGAGATGGACTTCAGACCACTTTGTTTCTAGTAAATGTCAAGCTTTGAGGGTCAGTCAAATCATTTTGGTTTCCTCTTAAGAAGGAAAGGATTCCAGCCTTTGGATAGTATGTGCATATTAGGAAAGAAACATGGAGAAAGATAGTCTTTATGATGCAGCATGGCCAAAAGCTGCTTGGAAGTATTATCCACAGAAAAGAGATCATGCAGAACACTGGACATGGGAGAAGCAAGAAAAGGAGGCATCTTGGATTTTATTTGTCTTTTACAAAAAATTTTTTTAATTGATACATTGTAATTATATATACTTAAGGGGTACAATCTGATGTTTTGATACATATATATGTTGTATAATAATCGGGTTAGGGTAGCTAATATAACTATCACTTCATACATTTATCATTTCTTTGTGGCAAAAAAAAGCTTCTCCTCTAGCTATTATGTAATATACGAAATTTAACTGTTAACCATAGTCATCCTACTGTGCAATAGAACACCAGAACTTATTCTCCTATCTAATTAAATTTTGTACCCATTGGCCAACCTCTCCCTGTTCCCCCTCGCCCCACCTTCCCCAGTCTCTGGTAACCACTCTTCTACTCTCTGCCTCTGTAATATCAACTTTTTTTTTTTTTAATTCCACAAATGCATGAAGTCATATGGTATTTGTCTTTCTGTGCCTAGCTTACCTCAGTTAACATAATGTCCTCCAAGTCCATCCATGTTGCCACAAATGAGAGGATTTCGTAATTTTTTGTGGCTGTGTAGTATTCCATGGTATGTATATATACCACATTTTTTTAATCCATTCATCCATTGTTGGACATTTAGGTTGATTCCATGTCTTGGCTATTATAAATTGTGCTGTAATAAACATGGAAGTGCAGATATCTTTTCAACATACTGACTTCATCTCCTTTGAGTATTATCATTTTTTAAAGGATAAAATGAGGCAAGGAAAGGGGAGCATTAAGGCCATTGTGATTAGAGGTACTGGTATATATCCAAAAAAGCAGTTGGGAGTCTATGTGACACTTGAATTGTTCACCTTTTCTACCCCTCCTCCCTTCCTTTCAGATAAAAAAGGAGCCAATAATCTTGACTTTGTTCAACACCACCTGTCTTGGTATCAGCCATGTGCACAAGAAGTACTGGTTGTTTCTCTTTCTTAGGTCCTGGCCATGAGACCTAGGATTCAGGGGAGTGCAGCCAGAAAAGAGGACGAGCATCCTTATGAGCTGTTGTTAACAGCAGAGACAAAGAAGCTGGTGCCAGTGGATGGAAAAACAAAAGGTACATTCCTCCCAACTGCTGGCAGAAACAACTCCAAAAGATTTTAAAAGTTTGTGATCCCAGGTGGAAGGGGAAGATGATGTAGCTATGCTGTCCTTTGGGTTGGGGCAGTAGGCTTTCATGGAAGTCGGTGCGTTATGGCTTTTCGTTTTCAATGCCTGGACCATATACCCTGGGTTGGACTTGGCTGCCACCTTCAGCACATGAAGCAAGGAAAAGGTTAGGTCAGTTTAGGTGATAGTTGTGGTAGGAGAGACCACCAGCACTGTGGCAGAGATTGATTTGGGGTCTGAAATCATAAACCTGCAAGTTAACGCTATGGAAAAACAAGCCCAACAGGTCAGTCCCTTTGGGTTCAGGCTGACAGCACAGACTCTGCTTCTGAGTCAGACACTCCTGGGGAGGGGCCTGTGATTGGCTGCTGCCCGGTAACTAGAGTGTTCTGTTGCCTTGGCCTACTTTCATTGCCTCTGCAAAATTCAGTTAGCACAGACTCTGCTTCTGAGTCAGACACTCCTGGGGAGGGGCCTGTGATTGGCTGCCGCCCGGTAACTAGAGTGTTCTGTTGCCTTGGCCTACTTTCATTGCCTCTGCAAAATTCAGTTTCCTCTGTAAGGGAGTGAGTGCTGCAGTACAGAGATCCAGCCTGTCGATATAAATGCAGTCACGACAGAGGTGAGTGTGCACTACTGGGGAATTTGTGCCAACCCCTATTCTCCTAAGGAAGAACAAGAAGGGGCAACACAATTCCCACTGCAATTTAAAGAAACTCCTGTGGCCTTTCCCACCGCTCTATAACTTGCAAGTACTCGGTCCTTTGTGGGGAATTATTAGTGCCTCCTTTCAATCCTAAAATAGTCCGTGGTTCAGGTAAGAATCGGGGAGCTGAGATGGTTGCCTTTGAAATGCCCTTTGCTAGACCTGTAGAGAGTAGGGGGTGGCAAAGAGAACAAGTGCATATGAGTATGACATTGTAGACCTTGTTTTTAATGGTCCTGTTTAAAAGGTTTTTTTCTTCAGGCATGCAGAAACTTTACAGTCATTTTCATAGTGTTTTTTTTTATTTTGTTTTGTATTTTATGGTTTCTATTTTGGAGCTTTTTTAAAAAAGTTATAAAATTTAGATATACAGTAAAATTCATTCTTTCTTGTGTACAGTTCTGTGAGTTTTGACAAACACAGTTGTATAACTGCCACTACAATCAAAACACAGAACAGTTTTGTCACACAGAAAATTTTCCCTTGTTCCTTTGTGGTCAACCCCTCACCGCTCCCTTATCCCTGGCTCACCATTGCTCTGATGTCTATCCCAATAGTTTGCCTTTTCCAGAATGTCATATAAATGGAATCATGCCATATGTACCCTTTAGTGTATGGCCACTTTCACTTAGTTTAATATATTTGAGTATCACCCATGTTTTTGCATATATCAGGAATTAGTCGCTTTTTATTGCTGAATATTATTCCATTGTATGGATATACCACAGTTTATTCCTTCCCTAGCTGAGGGACATTTGAGTCATTTGCAGTTTTTGGTAATTACAAATAAAGCTAATATAAACATTTGCATACAGGTTTTTGTGTGAACAAATGTCTTCATTTCACTTGGATAAATGCCTAGGAATGGGATTGCTGGGCTCTAGGAAATACATGTTTAACTTTATAAGAAACAGTCAAACCATTTTCCAGAGTGTTTGTACCATTTTGCATTCCCATCAGCAGTGTATGAGAGTTCCAGTTGTTATGTATCCTCCCCGGCACTTATATTGTCAGGTTTTAAAAAAATTTTAGCCATTCCAATATCTCATTATAGATTTAATTTGCATTTCCCTAATAACTAATGATATTCAGCATTTATTAATGTGATTATTTTCCTTCCTTATATCCAGTGAACTGTCTATTCAAATCTCTTGCTCACTTTCAAAAATTGGGTTGTTTTCTTAAATTATTGAGTTGTGAGTTTTTTATATATTTTGGACACAAGTTCTTTATGAGATATGTGATTTTCTCCCAGTCTGTCACTTGTCTTTTTATTCTCTTAACCGTGTCTTTTGAAGAGCAGAGGTTCTTAGTTATGATAGACTTCAATTTATCCTTTTTTTGATGTTTTTAGCAGCTGGCCAGTTTGGGGATCCAAACTCTTGTCCTTGGTGTTAGCAACACATGCTCTGATGAACTGAGCTAACTGAACAGCCCCTTAATTTATCCTTTTTTTTTTTTTTTTTTTTTTTTTTTTTTTTTAGTGAGTAAGATACAGATACTTTCTTCTCTATATATATATTTTTAGAAATTATATAGCTTTAGGTTTTACATTTAGGTCTGTGATCCATTTTGATTTCATTTTTGTATATGGTGTGAGGTATGGATAAAGATTCATCTTTTTATACCTTTTGTACTACCTGTTGAAAAGACTGTCCTTTCTCCACTGAATTGTCTTTGCAACTTTATTATGCTTTTTTCAGAATTGTTTCAGATATTCTGGTACATTTGTCCTTCAAATTTAGAATCAGGTTGTTGATTTCTACAAAAAGTTCTACTGGGATTTTGATAGGGATTGCATTGAATCTATACAGCAGTTGGGGAAGAATTGATATCTTAACAGTATTGAGTTTTCCAATTATGTTGGTAAATTTTTAATAAAGACATTTAGAGAGGTTGGAGTAGAGCACCAATGCCTACTCTAGTCATTTAATAATAAACCCTACTGAAGTTAACCCTTAAAGAACAAGCATTTAAATAATTTAATGCTCTGTTGGAAAATGGTTCTTAGTGAGGGAAGAATCTTTAGCGTCATGGAGGAAGGAGATTCCAATTATTTCTCTTTTTCAAAGGTTTCATCTAGAACCACTACAATATAGTTGGCTCAACCTTTGGAAGGAAGAAAAGGAGAAAGTCAGACGAACTTTATACATGGGCAGGTCTCCTTGGCTGCCAAGTGTCTTTGATAGGGATATTCTATCTCCAGGTCAAGAGGTCTCCAGGTTAAGGAGGGAACTGCCAAGGAGGACTTAAGACCTCACATCTGATCCTCCTTGGCTTTGGTTTCTTGCAGCTTTGCAATATTGGGCCAACTGTTGAGAGTGGGTGGTGTAGGAAGAAGATTTAGTTGAGCCACGAGCCTGTGGGGTGTGCCTGTCTCCAGGCTTTCTGCTTGGATCACTCAAAGAGCTTTCAGACAAAGAGTTTGAGATATGAAACATGAAAATGGGCTCTGCCTGTTTCTCAGAAGCCTTGCCTGGCCTGTCAGCCTGGCAGGAAAAGCTAGTCTGGACGGCAAGCCTGCTAGGTTTGTAAAAGTGAGGCACATCAGCAGACCATGTCATGGGTCAGTACATGTTAAATCTCTGTTTTTCCATTAATGTCATTATTTTACGCAGCTTTCGTGAATTAATTGATCACTTTTCAAAAGGGCGTGTTAATGAGACCACCAGAGCTTTTAACTCCTCCTTAGTATAATTTCAGAAACTACACTGTGAGGGGTAGGATGGGAGGCTTTTTAAAATTATATATGCTCACCAAAAAGAAAAAAAATCTTTTTCAGATAATACAGGAGTGAATGTAAATAAAATGTGAAGGTTCTTCTTACCTCTCTGCTACTCTCAGTTGCTAGAAGTGACCACAGTTTGAAAGTGTGTATACTTCAGGTCATTTGCTGTCTTTATACAAAAGTGACTGTATTAGTCCATTTCTGTTGCTTATAACAAAATACCTGGAACTGGGTAATTTATAAGAAAACAAAATTTATTGTTTACAGTTTCAGAGGCTGGGAAATCCAAAGCCCAGGGAACACATCTGATGAGGGTCTTCTTTGGTAGTGACTTTACAGCAATGTAGGGGTCTCACGTGGCAGAAAATGACGGAGCAGAGAGAGACTCTCACATGCTGTCTTTTTAAAACCCTCAGAACCATGCCACTGACCACCATTATTAATCCATTCACTAAGGCATGGTCCTATAGTCTAATCACCTCTTTAAGGCCCCACCTTTTAATTACCATAATAAGATTTCCTGCCCTTCAAACAGTCACAGTGGGGGCCAAGTTTCCAATACCTGGAACTTTGGGGGACACAATTTAAGCTTCAGTGAGTTTGGGGGGGGACATTTAATCCACAGCATTCCACCCCTGGTCCCCCCAAATCATGTCCTTTCACATACAAGTACGTTCATTTCATTCCCAAAGTCTTAACTGGTATCAAACTCAAAAGTCCAAAGTTCAAAGTCCCATCTGTGAAATCAAAACAGGTTATCTACTTCCAAGATACAATGATGGGACAAGCACAGGGTACATATTCCCGTTCAAAAAGGGTGAAATAGGCCAAAAGAAAGGTGTAACAGGTCCCAAACAAGTCCAAAACCCAGCAGAGCAGATATAGAATCTTAAAGCTGGCAAATAATGTACCTTGACTCCATGTTCAACATCCTCTGCATGCTGGTGTGGTGGTTTGGTCCCCAAGTCCTCAGGGAGCTCTGCTCCTATGGCTTTCCTGGTTTCAGGTGATGCTTTAGCTCTCGCAGGCTGGAGATGCACTCTGGTAGTTCTACAGGTCTGGAGTCTCTATGGTGGCCCTGCTGTCATGGCTCTACTAAGCATGGCACTGGTGGGGTTTTTCTGCTGCAACTCTGAACCCACATTTCTGTTCAGCATTGCTGTAGCAAAGGCTCTATGTGGTGACTCCACCCCTGAGACAGATCTCTTCCTGGGCCCTCCAGCTTTTCTATACATCCGTTGAAATCAGGGTGGAGGCTTGGAAGCCTCCACAGCTCTGGCATTCTGTAAGCCTGCAGACCTAACACTATGTGGATGCTGCCAAGGCTTCTGGCTTGTATTTTCCAAAGCTGTGGGTCCACCACACCTGGGGCCAATTTAGCCATGGCTGGAGTAGCTGAAGCAGTCGGGTGCTTGTGTGGGGAGCAGCATCCCAAGTTGGTCCTGGGCAGTGAGCCCATGGAGGGCTCCTCAAGCCTGTTCTCCAAGACCATTCTGTCTCCCTAGGCTTCTGG